TTGGTTGTTTTGTAATTTTTTATTGTGAATTCATCTTCTTTGTAATTTTAACTGTGAAAATTATTTGACAATTGGGTTCAAAGTGAATACCTTTGGAGAAGACTTACATTTGATTCTGCCAGGTGCTAAATTTTTATCTTGGGTTCCTCTGGCCATAACGTAGCATGTATTCTAACTCTGAATCAGAGTGAGAAGTGGGCCTGTGTTAGGACTTCTCAAGGAAACATTTTTCTCCTTCCTCCCAGAATTAATGCAAAGAATTAGTGCAAAGCCTTTCCTGAGAAAAGACTTACAAAAGCCAGCTTAGAGCCTCTGCTAGCCCATACAGTACAAATGGCACCCCATAAGGGCAGACAAATTTCAAAAAGGCACTTCTTCCTCTGGGCTGATGCAAGCCTGTACCATGACACAGACCTTGAGGAATTGAATGTGGGTTAATACCAGCCTCACTTTCCACCTTGACTGAGTACTCTTGTGTAGGGCACAATTTTACCAGTGTGTTCAAAGGCCTATGCCAGCTAATGTTTGACTACTGTTTGGCATTTGCTCTTTCTCATAGATTCTGGCCTCTTACCATCATTCTCCCTTTTTTCACCAGGCTCAGCCATATTAAAAAATGTTAAAAAATATTATATCCATCATTTTTAGGTATTATGTCCTGGGAATTTCCCTCTGAACACTAGATCTGTCAGTCTGTTAGAAACAGAAATTACATTACCCATTTTCAATTAGATTCAGTTTTTCATTCTTCCAACAAATATTTACTGAAGGGCTGTATGGGCCACTCTGCTTGCAATTAAAATACAATGGCACACAAAACAGATACAATCCCTGCCTTCATAAAGCATACAGCCTATTAGCCCTTTGTTATCATTTTCTGGGTATGTTTTTCTCCTCAGTGATTGCATGCTCCAGGAGGATATTTCTCTGGAGAAGGTGGAGTCATAGGCAACATATGTATATGTATAACCTTAAAATCACTGTTGTTCTAAGTATTTTTCAATAAGTACAACACACTTGTGTGCCTCGGAGAACTAAACAAAACCAAACTGAAGGACATTACTTTGCTGTTACAAACCCCAGGCCACACATCTGTTTTGAATAAACTTAAGCGCTACCCACTACCCTGGTCCCTTTTCCAAGTGGAGGAATTTATTTGCTTAGAAACTGCAACATTCCAGTTAACAATCTGACTCTCCCTCCTATTGCTAAGGGCTGTTTTACAAACTAGGCAGTCAGGCCTGGGCTGTGTAAATATCTCAGGTAAACTCCATAATAATCCAAGGGATTACTCTTACAATTTTTTTCCTGGTGCTTTTATTCAGCAGTCTCTGCTGCTACTACTATTGTAGCCATTGACGGGGTTTTACTTGCTGAGTAAAACCTACTTGCTGAGGCCACTACAAATTTTGCTCCACAGGCAGATCTCCTCACAGTGCCACATCAGAAGTTGTCTGTGGTATTATGGTGTAGTTCTGTCCAATGATGCTGCTTCAAGGCCATTTGCCACCCTGACCCTCACATCTAACTAAGTAAGCACTAGTAGTACAGTGTTTCTCTTTTACCTGACCAAGCCCTCTCTCCAGTCAAAGTCTGGAAGAAAGCTCAGCAACTGCAGGTCTACTGATTCACAAGCCTGTCAGGGGGGTCATATGCCAGTCCATTTTTATTAAAGTTTAGTGTTCTGTCTCAGTCATTTCCCATAGTATGATTTCTGCCTATTCCCTGCAGACTGGGGATCCATGCCAGTAAGTCATTTTCCAGTCTCCTCTTTGCCTCACACTCTAGGCTTATGCATGTGAACGAATCCTGGAGTCTTCCTTCCCGCCCACTCTAATCCCTTTCCAAGGGAAGTTCAGGCACACGCTTAAGGTCCTATAACCTTTCTTCACCTATTACAGAGAATCAAAGTAAAACATAATCTTTTATAAACTTGTTTTGTGTTATTGCCTGAATTAAATTGACGTAAAATGGCATTCATTGATGTTTGTCTATTGATAAAAACAAAACATTGTTTGACAATGCCTCAATCAGACAGAGTGAGAGTGCCTGTGAATTATGTAAAGAGCAAGCGCAAGTTCTCAGCTGAGAGCCACTCCAATAATTCCACCTGGTTTGGGTTGGCATCCAGAAGGCACAAAGATAAAAGGATGATTCATCAGTATAGTGAGATCAAGCTTTCTCAAGGGTCATGCCTATGTGAGATAGTTGCTAAGTGAGGGCACTAAGAAAGTCCTGGGTAAATTTCTAGTCCAAACTACCAGACTGGCTTTGCTTGCAGATAGTGCCCAGCACTGATGCTGTGATGCTAAATTTGGTTATGGTGACTATCAGGTCTGATATCTCGATTCCTAGTATTCTCTGTGTCAGTCTCTTGCCTGTTACTCCAGTCTGTCTAGTGGGAAGACCCAGCCTTGTTATCAGTCTGTTTTCCTGGGGATTAATGTTCTTCCCTTGAACCACAGTCTGGTAGTCCTGCCCCATGCTGCTAGTGTTTTAGTCTGCTTGTATCTCCAGATAACACTTGCTTCAGGACTTTGTTCTGCTTATCTGTCCAAACCCCTCTTCCCTCCCAGTTAAACTTCCATGCTTGCCTAGACTACCACATATTGTTTGCTAACATCTCTATGTGCCATGTTCCACCTATTTTCTTCACTTCCTTATAGCACCTGGAACTTGATTTTTCTACCCTAGTTCCTGCTGAGTCCTTACCAAATCTACTCCGTCTGACTGAAATGTTAGGGCCATCCAAGGCTGTGCCCAAAACGCAGTCTAATTCCTCTTCCACACAATAGCCTTTAGATATTTGATAACAACCCTTCTGTAACCTTTAATCATCTCTTTAGGCTAAATCTTGCTGGCTCCCATACAATCAAGGCCACCTATCTATGGATATAATTTGGAGCCCTGGTGACACAGTGGTTAAGAGCTCTGGCTGCTAAACAAAAGGTTGGCAGTTTGAATCCACCAGCTGCTCCTTGGAAACCCTATGGAGCAGTTATACTCTGTCCTATAGGGTCGCTGTGAGTTGGAATTGTCTCAATGGCTAGCCAGTGTATCTCTTAAAAGGTGACATACGGAAGTGATTCACATATTTCAACAGAGACTATAGTAGGGATATAATTTCCTATGATAAGGGATTTATATCTTATTAAAATTATGACTTTACTTACATTATTAGTTTGCATTAGCATTTTAAAGTGGCTTCATCAGAGGTGGTTCAAGGTTTTATGGGTCTTAAAGCTTATATGGGGATAGCGATGGTTCACTAGTAGAATTCTTGCCTTCAATGCAGAAGACCTGGTTCAGTTCCCAGCCAATAAACCTCATGCACAGACATCACCCATCCATCAGTGGAGGTTTGCATGTTGCTATGATGCTGAACAGGTTTCAGAAGAACCTCCAGACTAAGATGAACTGGAAAGAAAGGCCTGATGATCTACTTCCAAAGATTAGCCAATGAAAATCCTATGGATCACAATGGTCCGATCCACCAATCATGGGGATGGCGCTGGTAGCATTTCGTTCCATTGTGTATGGGGTTGCCATGAGTTGGGGGATGATTCAATAGCAGCTAACAACAACAAAGGTTATATAATTTTAATGACCCTCCTTAAAAAATAATAATATAAAAAATTACAAGTAGAAAGTTATTTTCAAGCCTTGTGCAAATGAGGGGCTAGAAGCTTAAGCTTCATTAGTTTTATTGTAAATTTACCTCTAGGTTCATAATAGTTTCTCATGAAGTTTCCAGGTCTTCTTCACCAGAACTCCTATCTAATCAGGTTTCCACTATGTATTAGTGTTCCTTATTAAATTTGAATTGTGTACTCAGCATATGGGATTGTGAGGATTAATTTATGAGGGATTTAGAACAATGGCTAACATAAAATGAACAATAAGTGTTAGCTATTATTATTTTTATTACTAAAAGAATCTTAGCAAATAATTCATCTTTTGACTTTTAATTTTCTCTTTGATGTAACAGAGATAATACCTGCTCTGCCTTTTTCATAGAGTTATTGTGAGAATCAAATGATAAATATGTGAATGTTGTTTTGTAAACTGAAAAGCATCATACACATACAAGGCATTGTTACTCAGGTTTCATTTGACATTGTTGACTTTATAAAAGGTTAAGTTTAGGAAAGAAAAGAAGACCTGAAAGGGTCGAACTGGTTCACTAAAAACTTCAGTAGAGGTGGGAAGATGCTGGAGGCAATAAGCTGAACACCGCATTTGAAATGAAATGTTAAGATGAAATAAGTAGAATTATACAAGAGAAAAGAACTGGGAGGTTATTGTGTGTGTGCATATGTTTGTGGCTTTCTACCATTTGGCCTTTACCTGGGTCTCCAGCCTCTTCTTCAGCTACGTCGTGCTCTGTAATCCGGGCTCCCAGGTCTCTGACTGGAGAAATCCTATTTACACTTTGGGTTCAGTATGAAGGCCTCTCTTCCATGGGGTTTCCCCAAACCCTCCCGGGAGTCCTGCAGGAAGAATAAATGGCTCCTTTTCAATGCCCTCTTGGTGAAAGCACTTCCACTGTAGACTGAAGGGGACGTAGTTTCCCTTATCTGTAAGGGCTGGCCTCATGTTTGCCACCGAATAGGCGCTCAATAAACGTCTAGTCAATGAAGGCACTTTGAAAAAATAACTTTTAAAAGTTGAGAGAGCATTTAAGGATAGGATTCGCAGGTAAGACAGACCTGCAGACAAGGTATTAACTGTTATCATCTGAGGGGGAGGAACGTCCTTCCAGCTGGGGGCACCAAGCGACCGCGCGTGGAGAATCCCGCGGAAGACCCGCCCCATGCTAGCGCGGGGCGTGGCCTGATCACCGGGGGGTGTGGCCTGAGGCGCAGGGGCGCGGCGCGACCCGTGGGGGTTTCCGCGCCGGGAGCGCGTCCGGCGGGGGAGGCGGGAGGGGCTTCCGCCGCAAGGGGGCGGGGCTGACGCGCAGAATACTCTGACGGCCCCAGCCAGGGAATTTCAACTTGAAACCTAGAGGAGGGAGGAGGCAGGCGCGGCAGCCTGGCGGCTGGGGCTGAAGCGGGACGGGTCCCTGCGGCGGCGAGCTAGCTCCTGAGGTGCGGCGTCGGGGTAAGGAGGCGTGCGGATTGCAGAATGGCGGGTCCGGGGCGGCGGAGCTTGGGCCGAGCGATTCGTTCCTGCTGAGCTGCAGGGGCGGCTCTGATTTCCCCTCGGGCTGCAGCTGGGAAGCTGATCCTGGGCAGGAAGCGGTGGCGGGACGGTCCCACCGGGGTGGGGGGGAAGGGCGGCCGGCTTTGGGATTTTCTACGACTATCTCCCGCCTCTTTCTTTGCCTCTCTGCCGGACTTAACTCTTACTCTGAGGTCCGGGTCCTGTTGGTCCAGGCCAGATCCCCGCTTCCCCGCCCCGCTGCCGCTTTCCTCTGCCCAGGCGCTGGGGCCGCCGCGTCTCGTCGGAGCCGGGAGGGATGGGGGAATGGTGAGGACCGCGCCAGCCTTGCCTGGGTGCCGTCGCCTCTGGGTCACGCGTCCAGGCCCCCGCGGAGCAGCAGGAGAGGTATCCTGCTCCATCCCCGGCGCGGGCCGCGGCGCGCGAGCTGCACCCGGGATGGAGCGGCCGCCTGCCCTCGGCGCCTAGCGGTGTGCGCGGGGGCTCCGGAGCTTGCTGCCTCGGCGTCCCTTTCAGGAGGATTATTTTTGGAGGGGAAACGCCGGCGAGAACGTCGCGTCTTCGAGGCCCGCGTCGGCCCCGGATGCACGTTTGTGGGCGGCATGGGCCCCCCGCGCGCGTGGGGACGGCAGGGAGCCGGGCAAGGACGATGTCTGGGGTCGGCGGCATCTGCACCCCTAGCTCACGCGCGGCGCAGGTCCAGCCCGGCGTCAGCTCGCGCCCGCGTCCCCCGCTGCAGCTTGAGCAGTCTGGGAGCACGACAGATGCGAGGAGGGACGCACGTTTTGTACTCTGATCGTTCCAATTCCGACACCCTGTGCATATCGCCACAGATGGCTTGTTTTTCTCCTGGGATGGGGGCGAAGGGTTGGGAGCGTTTTCAGGTGAGTCGCAGGAGAAGACGGCTAGGAAAACCTAAGGGAGAGGGAAGGGTAGGAATCGTTGCTCCGGGCACTGGCTCCTGAGTGTCCGGGCGACCCCCATCCCCAGCCGGAGACGCTGCCCCAGGTTGCCGGGATGAGTGCGGAGGGACGTCAATCATTATACTTCTCGGTATCGCTGACCTCCCCGGAGGTCAAGTTTTTTTTGTGACGCTAGAAGAACTCCCGCCTAGAGTCTATTATTTTCGGGAGGGGTCTCTGTACTGACCTAGGACGCCTTTCGTTTGAATTCCCCGTGACCACAACAGCTGCCCCTGCTTCTAAGAGCCCTGGGTGGTGGAATCTAGAGGAGCTCTTTTCTGAATCACATCTTTTCCTCAGTTTCTTGAACTCCTTGTATTTGAAACGGCATGTGTGTGCCGGGCGTCTTGTTCCTCTTGGTACTGCTATTTAAGCTTTTTAATGGCTTTCACAGTGTGTCTTCATTCCTCTATTTTCCTCCGTTACCTTTTAATTTTTCCCCTTGTTTTTGTTTTTCTCTAACCAGAATCCATATCCGTTTATAATGCTGTATAGAGAATTAGCATTTTAGTCGGTGTCCTATCATATTTCCCCTTGTGTTTTGCCCTTGAGGGAAACTGAGTCAATTTCTTGGCTGCCGGCAGTGTGTGTATTCAGAATTCTGAGGCTTTAAACAGATTTTACTGGGAAACGAATAGGCTTAATCCTATTCAGTTTCCATTTGCAGGCTCACTACTGTGAGAAATTACTGGATTGCTGTTGCAGCCCCTAATGGGGCTGCATTGCAATGCAATCTGGAATTGTGATAAGGGCCAAATGAGTACATCCATCAGCCTGCGAGTTTGGAGACAACTTTTAAAGAGCTAGGCTGTATCACCTGTCAGAGCTCGAGTTATCATTCTTATAATTCAGTTTGAGAGCCACTGTCAGACATCAGATATCTTACTCTTTGGAGGTTATTGGAGAACTGTACAATTGGTAGTGACTTGGAACAATGCTGTGAATTTAGGACTAATTTAATCGTACTCTGTCTCCCTCACTTCTTGGGCAGAATTCCCACTGAAGTCAGTAGTGGTCTTGTGTGCAGAAGGACTGCTGAGAACAAGAGGCTGCTCATTTAGAGTAATGGGAGGGGGCTGTTTCTTGCCTTTTAAAACACCCCCTTTCAAGACGTAGCCAGCCATAACAGTTCTTTAATCTTTTACCTCTAGTTGAAGTAGTTAGATCCCTGAGAGAAAAATGTGTGGATGAGTTGAGCAATCAACCTCAGAATCTTGAGCTATATCTATATTGGATGAGGCTCGCTTAAAAAGATTAAAAGTGATTAAAAAAAAAATCATCACTTAACAAAGCTAGAATTTCAGCAAAATTATTACTAACGTGTGAAAAAAAACTGCTATATAATATTTTGCAGCAACTGGATATGTATTTTTTAAATCAAATTTTATTCCAAATAAAAAGAAGCAAATTTGCAGATTTAGGGGAGGAATCTGAACAGAGGCCCACCAAAAAATAATTGCAAATTTAGGAAATCCAGATAACTCTTCCTATACTTTGAGACAGAACTTTTAGTACAGTTTAGCACATGTATGTATGTGTTTCTTAGGTGTTAGTGACTATCTGGGCTCATCATTAGATTTGGAAGTTTCCAAGTTAGCCTTGTGCTCATCTGGGTTGGTGAGCTTGTTAGGTCCTTTGCTTCTAAACTTGAAGTTCTTGTGGTTTACCCTTTTCAAATTACCAGTTCGAAAGTATTAAGTTTAGAAAGCCTATCCAGTCCCCAGAATCTAAAAATAGATTTTTGAAAATCAGAACCACGTCCACATGTACTACCCAACCACTTGCTTTCAACTAAAAATATTGTAGAGAAGACAAAGCAGTTCTTGATCAAAATATTTATTGGTTACTCTGTAATTAGTAATATTGTATAGTTATGTTTAACATCAGATTTTGCTTTGAATCACCACTCTTAATATTACTGTGGCTGGAGAACTACAAAGGTTGTATCGTTGCCATTTTATTTTTGAATGTGGGGTTTATATTTTATATAGCGAAATGCTAAATATTTTTGAAGTTTTGACTTTGTCTCTTCTTTGAACTGAAGCAGTCTGATTACAAGCTATGTGTGGACTATTTGAAAAGTATAAATTACTAATATTTTTATAAGGGAATAAAATAGTTTATAGTGATCAATACTACCGAGAGTCACATTTGCATTTATAAAATCTGTATTGTTTACTTTGAGAAAACAAAGGAAATCTGCCTACTGCCCCCACCCCACCTTTATTTAGAAAAATTTCCAGTGGCCTTGTTTGTTTTCCAGATTCAAAATTACTGTACCTAACCACTGGGTACTCTTACAGACTTAAAAGCCTCAAGTAAATGTTTATGCTGGCTTCAGTAGTCAGCCAATACTAGCCAAACCCTAATTTACCACCTTTTTATAGAATTCTGGAATCTCAGGGTTGGACCTTTAGAAGTCAGCAAATCCACTGTCAGCCCTTTTCTCCTCCCTGCAACACTTGAACACGTCCCGCCTCTTTGCAAGGCCTGAGTTAACAGAAGATTTGTATATGATTCCCCCACAGATTCCAGACAGAGCATCCTTTGGGAATACCATGTTTTGGCACAAACCAGTAACTTGATAGTTATAAGATTTCTATCATTCCTCTGCTTGGGTGCAATGCCTTAGACTAAAATGTAAAACGGAGTTAATGCTTGCTGGTGTCATTAAGTGTAGAGGAATGGACTCCAGGTTAGCTATTAATACTACAGCTATTTAGAAGTTACTTTAGAGATTATAGATATGCCAAAAATGAAAGAAATACATATTTTTTAATATCAGCAAGAAATAACTGATAGTTGAAACAGAGTTTTTTTAAAATAAAATATGTGTGTGTATGTGAGAATATATATATTTCCTGTCTGAAGCAACTACACATTGTACTAAATAATGTTTGATGAATTAATTCATTGTACCTTTTTATAATGTATTGGAGTTCCTTTTAGTTTGAGTTGACTTTGTAGGAATTGATAATGCTTCACGTAGAGAGAAGGGGATTACTTTTCTTACCCCTGGATATTGTTTCCCTTTGTTAATGTGGTTGGCCTGAGGTCTCTGTAGGTTTCTTAAATGCACGTTTTTCATGTCTAGAAGAGGAGATAATCTATACATTATTTCCTAAATACCTAGTGTTTGGGGTAGTGATTATTTTAATGGCAGTTTCAGTGGTTTTCTGAATTTTCTCATTATTTAAGTAATGTCTCTTACCCCTTGATATAGAAATAGGCTTTATGTGGCCTACTAGTACATTCATACTGCTTCCGGATTTTTTTCAAAGATTGAAATCAGGTAGTTTCTTTTTTGTTGTTGTTGTGTGCCATCGAGTCAATTCTGACCCATAGTGACCCTGTATGATAAAGTAGAACTTCTCCATAGGGCTTCCTAGGCTGTAATCTTTATGGGAGCAGATCTATACATCTTTTCTCCCACAGAGCTGCTGGTATGTTTGAACTGCCAGCCTTTTGGTGAGCAGCCAAGCGCTTAACCATTGCACCACCAAGGCTCCTTTTCATATTTTTAGTGACTGTTAAAATGGAAATATGTTTTCACTTAAAAGATATTTTGGTATTCTTCCACTTTAGCATATTAGAGTCATAAAGGTCTAAATGTATATGCATGTATCCCAAATAATCTTTATGATAATATGGAATAAAAATGAGGAATAAGAAGCCTTTTTAAATTTAATCTGAGAGAGGTATTTTAAGTAAAGTTCTGCTTTATGTAGCCAGGCTGCAGTTTTACATATATAACTAAGTCCAGCATCCTGGGGATGGTTTTAGTCCTTTTCAGGTTAGGACCCAGAGGGTGTGGAAAGGGTTCCAAAGTGATTTTGTTAATGTTATCTGTAGGACCTAATTGCCTAAGTCAGGTAGGGAAGTGCGCCGTTCTAAACTAAATCCTTCATGCTACAACTGAAATGTCAAGTTCTTTTTGTTTTGCTTTTTTTTTTTTTTAAGGGCTCGCTGTCAACCTTC